CTCACACTGAGGGGGCTCCCACAGCTAGTCAGAACAGCTGAAAGGGGGCCAATTAGCAATATATCGTACACTTGGTTCTACTGGATATTTTAACATATAAACTGCATGTACTTTTATGTGGCTTAAGGGATTAGACCGCCACATTATCATTTTAAAAGCTCTCAAAGCTTCTATTTTCTACAAAAGAAGAACACTTTTGAAAAATAAATGTCGAGAAGATTACTTTCAGATTGACAATATACGACTAAAAATGGGACACACATTAGGTAAATGGTAGTGTTAAAATGAGGTAAGTAAAAGTATTTCAAGCAAAATATTGCTTAAATTCACAATTATGCAAAACCATAACTGCATGTAAGGGTCCTATAATAACTTTCAAGTACGTGTCCATTCCCCATAACCTATAAAACAAACCTCACTGCTCAAGTGTTATATGATATTAACTTTTCCTTTCACCTCAAATTGCTGATTCTGACTGTTTGGACATCATAACAGTTTTTGACTCTTGATCTGTCGGACTATCAACTGGTACCTGTAGAAAGAATCAGAAGATAAAAGATTTAGAGCATCTGGCATATGCCATTATAACAGATCAACAGTTGGCTCAGGAATAAAAAGAGTGCTGACTAGATAGATTGGCTTCACACTTATTCTATGCACATATTTCTTAATAGTATAATCATAAAAATATTTATTACTTACAGCTTTAATATCACCATTTGCAATTCCTATATTTATATTGTGTCTTCTCAGGTCAGACTTGATTAATGCTGAAACAGAGACGCATCAATGGAGTTACCATAGAGTATGCATGAATATGCTTTTCTCTAAGCTGTGCAGTCTTTTTTGATATTGTCAAATTTAGCATACTATAGTACCATAATATTCAATAGTATCCTTGTAGCCTGAAAAAATAGTACCTCTCTAAGCCATTAACTTAATTAGCAAGTCACTCATTAATGAAGAAATAGAGGATGCTAGGAAACAAAGATACAAAGATGAAAAAAGTACAATTCTTTTCCTAAGGCACCCTCCAATCTAGGGAAATCGTGACATGCAAACAATCATAACACTGTAGGATAACTGCAATAATGCAGGTATGTACAAGATGTAGTGGGAGCATAGGAGAAAAAATGCCAGTGTCAGCCAAAGGAAATCAGGGAAGGTTTAGCAGAGACACATTTGAATTGCAACTTGAAAAATGAGTAGGAACTTGTCAAGCAGATAAGAGGAGAGAGAAAGGCATAGTAGGCAGGCAGAATACCGTAGATGCAAGGAAATTGGGACACGAAGAGTATAGCCTATTCATGGCTCTAGAGGTAGTCTGGGATCATTGAAGCATTGAGTACAACAGAGAGGTGGCAGGATATGAGGCTGGTAGGCATTGTGTACATCGTGTGAAGACTCACTGCATCTGAGTGGGGAGGACACTATTAGGCCTACATACTAGGGTGCGCCATCTGGCTACTATGTGGAGGAGGATTACAGGCAAGAAGACTGAGGCAGGAAGGGCAGTTAAGAGGCTTTGTACCTGCTGAGAGATGGGGAGGCGTGAGTGTGAGAAGTGGAGATATAGAGACAGGCTACAGAGAAATTTTAGAGTAGAACCAACAAGACTCGGTGGTTTGAGGGCCAGC